TTTCCTCCTTGTGTCTGCCTCTGTGCCCAAATGTCTCCTTTGTGTAAGGATGCCAATCATTTTGAATCAGGGTCCATCCTAATGACCTTCTTTTGACTTGATTACCTCTGGAAAGATCCTCTCACCAAATAGGGTCATGTTTTGAGGATTCCAACTTTTGGGGAGGATACAATTCAACCCATAACAGTGAGGCAGCCCCGTAGAGTACGTTCCTTCTCCTCGCTCCTGGCCCCAGATGGGTCTTTCTTTCCCTCCCATCCCGGGAAAACTACGGTGAATCAGCTGAAAACCAATGGCTACATAAAACTTGTTCTGCCTCCTCTCATCCAGTTTTCCTTCATCTCGTGCCAATCAATGGCATTTTGCCCAGGCAGTCACTATGCCCTGCGTGCACCGGGAAAAACAAAAACAGGTTGCCAGAGCCAGGAAAACCTGACATGTTTTAGCCTGAGGTCTTAGTGTGGTTTCCTTGAGGAACATCAAACGATTTCCCTTGTCTGAGTGCATGAGTGTGCAATGGGGTTCTTTAGGTTGCTGGTTGTCTTAAGTTTTCCTACCACAGATCCCTTGAGAAAGCCTGCCTGCCCTTCTCATAGAAACATACCCTCACCACCCAAGGTGGGCAACGGAAAAGGAACCTCCATGTGGGAGGGGTGGTTGGAGACTTACAGCCCCAATTCTTGTTTCAAATGTCCTTTTCTCTTGTAAGTTGCCCAGGAGGCTCTGGGAAGGCTATTTCTCTTCTAACACTTCTTCCCAAACATGAAGAGAGACTCACCTCTCAGTCCCAGGATGGAGTGTTTGGTTCATCGCATGATTCCAGTGGCCTGTGGAGTGCCCAGTGCACTCAGGCATCACTTCTGGCCTTGACTGTGGAACACAGAGGAAGGTAGTTTACACAGGTGGCCTGTCCTTTGCCAGTGGTTATGTGGATTTCCAGAGGCTTCAAATGCAAGCTCACAAGAGCACAGACTTGGAAGCCTGGCAGAAGTGGGTGGATATCATAATTCTGCCACCTCCTACTTGAGGGACCTTCAGTAGGTTACTTAAATTCCCTGGAACTGGGTTTCATCATCTGAAAAACAAACAAACATAGAACCTGTTTTGTAGAGTTACTGTGAAAAGACATAGGATATGCAAGTAAGGTATTGAGTACCACCTCTGACACAGCGGAAGGGATTAAAATGGAGATAAAGGAAGGGCAATGAGACAATCCAACCCATTCTAAAGGTCTACTGTGCCCCAGACCCTGGGTAATGGGCAGAGGGACATAAGAGGAACATCAGACTGCTAGTCAACCTCTTCTTAAATTTTTCAGCTTTAAAAGGTGCCTTAAAAACATCCCAGCTTATCTATATCCCCATGGGCTGGTTTACATGGACCCCAAGTAGCTTCCCAACCAAACTAGCGAGGCATCCCAAAAATTACGGATAGGTAGAGCTAAGTGCAGCTTTCCAGACTCTCTCTTACCCCCTCCACCCTGGACCCTCTTAATAGCTCTGGCCTGGCACCCCTGTTTCCTTATCTGGATGGCAGCCCATCCGGACCAGAGCTAACTCTAGATTTCTCTGTCTTCCTGGCTGCTGCCTCTGATGCCAGCCAGGGCTCCACACCTGGGACCTGCCTGGCCTCACCGCCCACCAGGTGTGAACGCTAGGCCAGAGCCAGGTATCACAGTTCCCACCGGATCTGCAGGGGAAATCATGACGTTTTCACCAAATTGAAACTGACTCACCAAATGAGTCCCAGAAAGTGATAGCTATTCCAGAAATTGATTGCTATTGTTCCATTAGCTCTGGGGAAGAGGGATCTTTTCCATTTCCCGGCCTCTTTGCCCCCCACTCCCCACTCCCACCCCTCATCATTTTAGATGTTCAAAAACTGTGTTTTAAAGAAAACGAAGCTCCGCTTCCTAGACTGCTCAGGTCAGCACACAGAAGTGTGTTTGGTGGAAAACTGGACAGGAAGAGGCTGAGATCACATCGAATGGGCACGGGGAAGCTGAGACAGGAAATCCATCAGTTCTGGGGACAGACGTTGAAGCCCGAGTCCCCCACAGGAAGTAGTTAGAGGTTTATACGCGGGAACCTCGTGGCAGAAACCTCTCCATGTCTGCAGAACTGTGTGAGCTCCAGGGCCGACCCCACAGCTGGGGGAGGAGAGGGAAGGAGAGTGGGTAGCATCAGCCCAGTGGGGTAGCCCCTGGTGTGTCAGCAGATAGAGATCATCTGTGACAGCAGCCGCCCACACCCAGGCCCACCCCAGGCCCAGGGGGCCAGCAGCAGGTGGCTTTAGCTGACTTGTTTGGCTTTCTGCCCTGTGGCCAGTAGAACCTGACAGGTCAGTTTCCAGATCTGGGCTGATTTTTTTCCACTTCCTGGTTCTCACGCCTTCAACCTGAGAAGCTGGGGTTCCCCTCCCCCTCACTCTGCAAGAGGATGTGTTCTGTCCACAATGCCCAGAGAAACGTCTGGTCTCTTAATCAGCCATTCTGAACCCTAGGAAGTTATTTAAGGGATCGAAACAGCTAAAGTTGGACCCCTGAAAATTAAAATCAGTGACTGGCCTCTATCTGAGGATGGTTCTTCCAATGTGGGAGAGACCTGAGCACACCCCTCACCCCACCAGCCAGGTCTCAGCAAGAAGAAATTTGCCTCCTAAATCTGTTTTGTGGTGTGCGTTTCTTTTGTTTTTTGTATGTGTGGTTTTTTTCCCATTGGTTTTTAGAGTGAGGGAGAGAGAGAAAGAGAGAGAGAAACATCAATGAAAGCAATATATCATCAATCTGCTGCTTCTTGCATCCCCTCCTAGAGATCTGAGCCCCCAACCTGGGCATGTGCCCTGACCAGGAATCAAACCGGGACCTCCTGGTTCATAGATCAATTCTCAACCACTGAGCCATGCTGGCCAGGTTCCTAAGTCTGTTTTTATTTGCTTTGGAGAAGGTGTCTTTTTGTAAAATTATTTTTTGCACTTCTTTACTCTTAGTCGATGCCTACTGACTATTTGAGTGATGGAATGGAGATGGAGGTAGCTCAGCAGGGCTGGGGTTATGCAAGGCCAGCGAGGCTACCAGGGAACCAAATTGCAGGAGGCACTCGCTCTTGGGTTCATACAAGTTCTCACCCTGTTCTGACCCTGATTGCTGCTGAGGGGAAGCTTCGAGGGGAGATGGTTTACTCAGAAATGGCTGACTGTGGAATAGTAAGGGGCCCCAGCATAGGCACCTGCCAGCCTTGCTTCCTCTAGCCTGGCACATCCAGGCCTCTCCTGTCCACAAGTGTGCCATGTATGGGGCTGGGCACTCCCTATCAAAAGGTCCCTGCTCCCGGGAACTGCAGAGAGAAACATGTATGAAGGAGAACTTGAATCAAGTCAGAGGTAGTTGTCACTGCAGTGGGTGCAGGCTGAAAAACATTATGATAATATTAAATACCGCTCTGGGTACTTACCATGTGCCACGCCCTGTGTTAAATACATTATGGCCATTATTTTACACAATCCTCTCAACGCAATAAAGAACTTGGGCTCTGGAGCCAGGCAGCATGAATTTAAATCTCAGCCTTGCCTCTTTCATGATGTGTGACCTTGGGAAATTACTTACCCTCTCTGGGCTTCAGCTTTCTCATCTGAAAAATGGGAATAATAATAGAACTTACATCATGGTATTCCAAGGGCCATATCCGGTAATGCAAGAAAAGTAATGAGACAAGCATCCGGCACAAAATAAGTGCTAGACAAGTATTAGCCATGGTTAGTATTGTGATTGCCTCTTGTAGCTTATTCCTAGGGTTGCCACAACAAAAGTCTCACAAAACCAGGGACTTAAACAATAGAAATGTATTGTCTCACAGTCCCAGAAGCTAGGAGTCCAAGATCAAGGTGTTGGTAGGGCTAGTTCCTTCCATAAACTGTGAGGGAAGATCTGTTCCCTGCATCTCTCCTCACTTCTGAACTTTGCTGGTTTATAGATGACCATCTTCTCCTATGTCTCTTCACTTCATCTTTCCTGTGTCTGTCTCAATGCTTAAACTCCCCCTTTGTTTGAGGCTATTTGGGCTGCTATAACAAAAATACCATGGGGTGGGTGGCTCAGACAACAACCCCTTATCTCTCACAGTTCTGGAGGCTGCGAAGTCCAAGGTCAAGGCACTGGCAGGTTCAGTGTCTGTCTGGTGACGACCTGCTTCCTGGATCTTAGCTGCTGTCTTCTCACCGTGTCCTCACAAGGCAGACGGGGTGGAGGAGCTCCCTGGGGTCGCTTTTATAAGAGTGCTGATCCCAATCATGAAAACCCTATCCTCACAACGTAATCTCTTCCCAAAGGTCCCTCCAAATTGGGAATTTGTTTTCAATGTATGAATTAGGGGAGGGAGGGTGTAGAAACACACATTCAACTGTAGCACCCTTTTATAAAGACATCAGTAATAGTGGATTTAGAACCAACTCTGATGATTACTTTTACAAAGACCCTATTTCCAAATTAGGTCACGTTCTGAGATACTGGGGATTCACAACCCAACACATCTTTTGTAAGGATGGGGTGGGGAGAAGAGGGAGGAGACATAATTCAACCTATGGTACAAGGCTAAGGAACTTGCTTAATGTCATACATCTCATTGGTGATGAAACTGGGTCTTAGACCCCAGGATTATTTGGTGACACATTTCATGGCATGAACCTCCATTTAAGCCCCAACTTTCTTTTCTTTATTTTTTACAGAAAGGAAGGGAGAGGGATAGAGAGTGAGAAACATCGATGAGAGAGAATCATTGATCAGTTGCTTCCTGCACACCCCCTACTTGGTATGTGCCCTTGCCTGGAATCAAAACTGGGGCCTTTCAGTCCACAGGCTGACGCTCTATCCACTGAGCCAAACCAGCTAGGGCAAGCCCCAACATACTTAAACCTTCTCTGAATGGGGAGAAAGAACCAAAGAAAGACATTCAGACTATTGCTCCTGCGTTGATGGCATTTCCTCTTCTTTCTCTCTTCTCCAGCCTGCCTGCTCCAGGCTGAGCTGGTCAACTATGAACGAGTCAAGGAGTATTGCCTCAAAGTCTTGAAGAAGGAAGGGGAAAACTTCAAGGCCCTTTACCGGTCTGGTGTGGCCTTCTACCACCTTGGGGACTATGACAAAGCACTCTACTACCTGAAAGAAGCAAGGACCCGACAGCCAACAGGTAAGGCAGAAATGGATGTTTTCTCATCCTAAGCCACCTCTGGCAGCTCTCATTGGGATGGGCAGCTGTCAGGGTGCAGGGCCAGGCAGGTGCAGAAATGGCAAATTAGGGGTCAGGTGGCCACTAGAACTTGGAATGAGGACAACATACAGCCCACACATTTGCCTGGGGTCTGAGTCCCAGGGAATGTGATCACCTTTTCCCTTCACAGTGAATATGGAATTCTTTGTCTTTTCTAACCCAGAATCCAATTTTCTTCACTTTTTCAATAAATATATATTGAGTTATGATGCGCCAAGACTTCTGCTGGGCACAAGGGATGTGGATGAGAAAAGGTGGCTCATATATTTGAGGGGCTCACACTCTGGTGGGCAAGACAGAATACAAAGCAATGATTTGGGTGCTGAGCCCAGTATGTTCCAGGAAGCGTGCTCTGCCTTCTCCAGTCAGATCTCATTCCTGAGAGGATGCATTATCTGTAGCATTCTTGCAAATTCATGTCCACAATGTTCAGCCATTCGTTCATTCCACAGATACTAATTAGGCAGTTACAATTGCCCAGGAACTGTTCTAGGTGCTGAGTATATGTCAGGGAACGAAAGAAACCGCAGCCTTCAAGGAGTTTATGATATAACTAGAGGCCTGGTGCATGAATTCATGTACCAGTGGGGTCCCTTGGCCTGGCCTAAAGATCAAGCCAAAACTGGCTCTCTGACATCCCTGGAAGGGTTTTGGATTGTGAAAGGGCACAAGGCAGGCTGAGGAACCCCAATGGTGCACAATATGGGCTGGGGAGGGACGCAGGAGGTGGCCAGCCAGGAGGGACCTTGGGAGGGCTCAAGGCGTGTCCAGCCTGTCTTGCTCAGTCCCAGTTGGCTGGACCCCAGCAGCAAGCTTACTGGTCAACTGTCTGCCCCCTGGTGATCAGTGCATGTCACAGTAAGCAGTTGAGTGTCATTAGCATATCATTCGCATATTACACTTTGATTGGTTGACTGGATGACCTGACCACTGGACACTTAGCATATTAGGCTTTTATTATATAGGATGGAGGAAGGTGGACAGTAAGCAAATGGACAAATAGATAATACAGTATTTAGTAGTGTTAAGTGCTATGAAGAAAATGAAGCAGAAAAAGAGGATCAAGAGTAAATGGGGTGCTATTGTAGACCTGGTGGTAAGGAAGAACCTCTCTGAAGAGATAACATTTCAATAATGACTTTGACTTGATTTTGCCATTGTTGTTCACAAGGCTGATTTTTAAAAATATATGTGTTTTATTGATTTTTTACAGAGAGGAAGGGAGAGGGATAGAGAGTTAGAAACATCAATGAGAGAGACATCAATCAGCCGCCTCCTGCACACCATCTACTGGGGATGTGCCCGCAACCAATGTACATGCCCTTGACCGTAATTGAACCTGGGAACTGTCAGTCCGCAGGCCGACACTCTATCCACTGAGCCAAACCAATTTCGGCAACAAGGCTGATTTTTTTTAAATGTACTTCTCTTTCTAAGAAGTCTTTAAGAACTTTAGGATCAAATGTATACATTTTTCTTTATCTTTGTAAGAGCACCAATATCTTTATGTGTTGATTAGTTTTCTGTAATCAGTCATGTTCCCCCAATTGTACTGTAACCCACAGGAGGACAAAGAACTGGACTTAGTCAACAGAATTTTCTTGAACACCTACTGTATGCCAGCACTGTTCTGGCTGCCATGTGTGGCATTTTTTAGGATTCTGGAAGCGAGCATCTCAAGCAGCCCTGTAACTCTTATATGCTGGTATGTGCGGAGCTAAGCAGCTGTTCCGCATCATACCCCGCCTGCCAATTTAAAAGCTGGAGTTGGGAGATCATTTCCCAGTTTGAGGTGAGGTGGCCTGACTACTGATAAGGACAAAAATAAGACAATGAAGCAAAGTCATTTCAAACTCTTCAATTTAAAAAATTACATTCAACTAATATGTCTTCCTCGTTAGAGTAGCTCTGCTAGGCTAGCCTATTTTGGCCCTCACAGAAATGTCCTGAGGAAGGAATGACCCCCAGGGGAGGCAGGCTTTGGAGTCAGCTGCCCCACATACTGTCTGTGGCCTTGGGCATCACATTTAACCTCTCTGGGGCCCAGTTTTCCCTTTTGTCACAGTGAGGGTGATGCTACACACCTTGCAGGGTTTCGAGGAGGGTGAAATGAGATAACATGGCACAAAGTAGGCATTCAAAAATGGAAGTCGTTTCTTGCAGACAAGACAGGAGGCTCGGAGAAGTTGGTAACGTGCCTGGAGTTAAACTCTAAGCAGAGCTTCTACTCACTGTGCTGACTCAGGAGCACGGGGATATGCTGTTTCATAGCAATAAAGGGAGACATCCCTCCTCCTCTCCTCTCCTTCCCGTCTGCCCCTGGGTCAGGGTGACCTGTCCACATTTGCTTGGGGGAGGCCATGGAGGAGAATGCTAGCTATAGACCTAAGACTTCCCCTCACCACATGTCCCCTAAGGTGTGTTTCTCTCCTCACAGACACCAACGTGATTCGGTATATCCAGCTGACGGAGATGAAGCTCAGCAGATGCTCTCAGAGAGAGAAGGAAGCCATGTAACTACACCTCTCTAGACTTGCACTTGCGCCCGACCCTGGACTTCTAGGCATCCCCTGGCGGAGAGTCCCTCCCTGGGTTCTGGTCCTTTTCCCCACTCCTTCCACCAGCGCCCCCCCCTCCCATCTCTTCTTCCTGTTGCCCCCCAACTCTTGTCTACTCCCAGTGTGAAAAGAAGGAGATACAAATCTGGAATCTGGCAGGTTGCCCTGACAATGGAGATATCTTCTTCTCTAGGTCAGCCACTGAGAGGGACCTGAGCTCTGTGGGGACAGCCGGGGAAGACAATCACACGTCAGGAATGCCTGGGTTTCTGACAGAGGCAGATCCTGGCGGTTTACCATCCAAAGGCAGCAGGGAGGGAACCCACGTCTGGACCCCGCACACCTTTCTGATGGACCAGAGAATCTCAAGGCAATTATAACAAATCCAGGGATGAGACAAACACCAGGAGCATTGGCTAAGGCAGGAGAGTGACCGTGAATTTGTACACTGGATTTCCCCACCTCTACCCTCAGTAGCCTCCGCCCCTGCCTCCCTTCCTTGTTGTCTTTACTTGTGCTTTCTTCTCTTGCCCTTGGGGATCTGCGTCTGTGCCAGGATTCACATGCCATTGATACCCACTCTCAGTGCCCTCTGGTGACCACACATACCATCCTCCCATCCCCCCAGCAGGCAGCTGTGACAGCAGAAGGGCAGGGACAAGTGGGTCAAGGGTTGACCACTGAGGTGAGACGGGGAGGGAGAGGAGATGTCCAGGGGAGAGAGCCTTGCATAGACTGGGCAACTCATTAAGTGTACATACAAGTGAATTAACAGGCAGAAACTCCTGCCACTTCTGTTGGAAGCAGCCCACTCCCCCACTGTTACTCCTTCCCCCGAGGAACCCACTCAGAGCTGCTTACAGCCAGGCAGGACGGGGCTTCCCCAATGGGCCATTTGTTCCGTGGTCCACAGAGCTGGCTGCCTCTTCTGTGTGTTGGAGTAGGCTGGGGCTGGGGATTTTGCCCAGGGGGCTGGCTTTGTGGGTCTTGTACAGCCTCTTTGATGACATTAAGCTGGACTCATTGTCTAGCACAGAGAATGTGTTCAACACATACTTGTTGAGTGAATAAATGATCTCTGGCTCTCCTGCCTTAAACTAATTTTTATCCCAGCCTGGTCTCCTGATATCTATGCTCTTTATGCCATGTTGCTTCAGTCAAATAAGAGACATTTCCCGAGGGCTTATTGTTTGCCTACCATTGTGCAATATGCTGTGGGACATGGGACGTGGTCCTATGAAGAGTTCAGAAATACTCGTGTGAGATTATTACCAATGACACCTTTCATTTCTATGATGCTTTACAATTTTCAAAGCACTTTCGTGTATCTTCCGTGTGACCGGTGAAAGAAACAGTATTGTACAAATTAAAATATATACAGATGCAATAATGTTAATAGTTAGCGTTTATTAAATGCACTATCCTCAGCTCTTTCCATGTATAGGCTCATTTCTTTCATGCAATTACCCTAGGAGACAGCATCTCTATTTGAAGGATAAGAAAAGCTGAAAGCCAGAAAAAATTAACTATCCCAGCCCGGCCGGTGGTTGAGCATCAGCCTATGAACCAAGAAGTCACGGTTTGATTCCCAGTTAGGGCACATTCCCGGGTTGCAGGCTCGATTCCCAGGAGAGGGTGTTCAGGAGGGCAGCCAATTGAATGATTCTCACTGGTGTTTCTATCTCTCCCTCTCCTTCTCCCTTCCTCTCTGAAATCAATGAAAAAAAAAAACTTACAAAAGAAAAATGAACTATTGCAAGGTGGCATGGTCTTAAGTGGAATAGCTAGGATTGGAGCCAGGTGTGTCTGACCCCAGAGCCCTAGCTCAAACTACTCTACCATTAGTTCCTGCTCTACAAAGTGTACTGAGCAGTTATGACCACTCAAGAGCAGAGCAGTGTGTGTTACATTAAAAAGTTTGGTCTGTAGTATCTGAGCTGCCTCTTGTGTTTAAAATGCCCAATGCAAAAAACAAAAAAGTCCCTAACCTTAAACTCGCTAGTGGACAGGGCAGTAACAGACCCAGAAAAGAGAGCTGAGACCTGGCAGTTATTTCTGAGTATTGTTCATTCTACTTGCTAATGGGTCAGACAACCCACCTAGTTTTCCTCATCTTGTCCCAGCTTTGGAGAAGATTCTGGAGATTTCATCAGAGGATAAAAGGGAATACCAAGCTGATGATGGGTTATTTGTTTAACCTGGGGCTCCACCACTGCAGGAGCTAGTGGCTACGAAGGGGCCCAGGAGCCAGCAGCCCAGAGGATACTCACATGGCTCCTCAAAGGCTTCTAACTGAGACCCTGAGAAAGTGCCAGGAACATCCAAGGGCCCACCGTTGCTTACCGGTAGCTCAACCTCAGGAGAAGGGGAAAAAGAAAAGGCTGTTAGAGCTGCCACATTCCACCCCACCCCTAACCATAGCCCTCCCTCTGCCCTCTTCCTCCAAAATAGTTTCACGTGACCCCAATTCAAAACCACTCTGCAGTGTACAGAGCTCAGGCAACCGTGCACAACTCCTCTGCCCCAAGCCTCCAGCCCAGAAAGCTCGTGAGCTGGCGAACTGCTTGTCAGAATCTGAAGGATAAGATGAGGTCAGAGGTGGCCTGTAGAACCAGTTCATACTAGCAAGGTCTTTCCTTTGGTCTTGCATTCAGGAAGGACTCAGAGTAACTGTTCCCAACGTGGGTCAAGAGAGAGGTCAAAAAGTGAGTTGCGGCGAGACTGGGCAGCCAGGGATAGGATTGTTATCCTTCTAAAGAAAAAGGTTGAAAACCAGAACTAAGCACATCCTCACGGGACATCCTGGTGCAAGTGTACAGGTGGTCTGCTTGTTTGGAGACTTAGATACACATGCTTATTGGAACTCCATTCACTGTGACCCAACGTTAAAGGATCCCAAAGGGAAAAGCTGCCTGGGGGATTAGCTGATGTCTGGGCTGAGTGGTGCGTCTTCTGTTCCCTGGTCCAACAGAGACATCAGGGAGCTGCTAAGCAAAACCAGGTGTGTGCACCTTCCCGCCAGCTTCCTTCTCCCCGCCCCTAGCACAGACAGGCATTGGCATTTAACTGCAGGCAGCTGTGACAGCAGAAGGACAGGGCAGCTGTGTTTGCAGAGGTCACTGCTGAACTCTACCTGGAGCACGAAACCTGGATCTGACCTGCTTTGTCATCTCCTGCTTGGACTTTTGGGATAGACTCTTCAGGAAGAAAACTTATACTCTTCTTGTAATGATTATAAACACCTCCCATGTGTATTGTGAATTTTAGGGGGACAGGGGGAAACAAATTCCAACCCACAATTCTAGCACCTAAGGCAAGCATTACCACCCTTTGGGATGTATCTTTTGGGATAAATGCACACATACACAGTTTGTTGTGTGTGTGTTTTAACAAAAACTAGAGCACATTGTGTGTGTGTGTGTGTGTGTGTGCATATATATATATATATATATATATATATATATATATATAGTTACTCTTTAATAACTTTTCAAAATGTGTATATTTTAGAATATGTAATGCCTACACAGACACAAAACTCAAAAATCTCTATAGTAAGAAGTAAATCTCCTTCCCACCCCTCTGCCAGCATCTAGTCTCGCTCCTATTACTTTTAAGCATTTCCAAACATATGGACACATATACTCTTGTCACACACAAATGGTAGCAAATGGAGACATGCTTTTGCACCGTGTGCTACTTCACTTAGTATAACAGGAGCATAACATTTGTGTGTGTGTGTGTGTTTCTCTCGAACTTTTCAACATCCTCCCCATTCTACAGATGGATCCTTATTTGATAATCAATCTCCTAATAGTGGTTTTTTCATTTGTTCCCAGTCTTCATTCTAAGATTGCAACAGACATTCTTGGAGCTATGCTGTGTACAAGGAAAACAATGCTTGTCTATCTTTAAGAATTTTGATGGAAGTTGCCAACTGTCTTCCAGAGAGTTTGTATCAAAGCACTCCTACCTGCAGCCTTGAGAATGCCCTGTTCCCTGCACCCTCCCCCCCTCATGGTGGGTATTAGCCCTTACCAAATCTTCACCGATTTGATAGAAAAATGATAGGAGGTCAATGTTATTTGAACTTGCATTTCTTTGATTACTATCAATGAACACCTTCATATGCTTGTTGACCATTTGTATTTCTTTCTTTGTGAAATTTCTAGTCATTTGATATTGGTATGTTTACCTTTATTATCAACTTGTAATTTTATTACCAATATTATCTTTGTCCAGAAACACTGCAAATGGGCTTTCCGAGTGCTTTGCTTTCGCATTTTGTTGTTGGTGCTTTTTGACATACATAAATTCTTAATTCTGCAATTAATTTGTTCCTCTGTTGCCAGCTTCTTCTGCCTGTGGCTCGCTCTCCCATTTCTGTCAGTTGCCCCTTGTGAAGCATAGGATGGTGTGGCTCCCTAGCGGCACCTCGTTCACTTTAAAAGCCAAACTCCTTAGCATAACACACAAGGGAGGTCCTGTGATCCTGCCCCTCCCCACCCCCTACCTCCCACCCCCCCACTCTTCTGGGATCACCTGCTAGTCTTCTTGGCAGGTGCCCTCCATTCCATGGCCACACAGCTGCTTGGCATTCCCCGAACCCATGTTCTGCGTCTCTGAGCCTCTCCATGCTGTTCCCTCTGCCTCGCTGCCCACGCCTTACTCCATCCAGCTCCCTCTTTGCCTTGCTAACTCCATTCGGACCCCAAGCATCACTAATTGAAAGCGGTCCCTGACCCCTGAGTCCAGCCTGCACTCCAGCAACATGAGCCTACCCATCCCTGGCCAGCATTTGCAACAGCGAATTGTAATTTCCTACTTATGTGTCTCCCCCGCTACCTGGATTTTCCAGGCAGGCGCTGTGATTTGTTCATTTTTGCAGCCAGAACGTCTAGCACAACGCCTTCACATAGCAAGTGCTCACTAAATGTTGAGCACTGAGCTTGGCGTGGATGAATAATGGATGCAGCGGCAGATGTTACTTGAGGTAAATGCAGGGCTGGGCTGGATCTGTGCTTCTGAGAAGTGAAGAACTCCTAGGAGACATGGGTTATAAGAGAAGCCCTGTGCTCCCCTGCTGCGCTTTCCAAAACATCAGAATCACTTGAAGTAGTTTTTAAAAAATGCATCATCTCAGGCTTTGCCTTAGATCCATTGAATCAGACTCCCGGGGATAATGCTCAGCATACAAGAGTGTATATGTGAGTGTGTGAGTCCTGAAGAGTTTCTGATGACCAGCCTAGGTAAAAAGCTGCTGCTGAAGTAGTCCGACAGATAAATCAGAGCCCCTGGCTCCACTATTTCAAATCATGTGACCGTTGCAGTAGATAGATGGAGCTTTATTCGAACACCAGCTTTGACAGCTACTGGCCGT